TTTTCCTAACTTAAAGCAAGGTCAGGGTTTGGATTAAGGATGTTAAATTGCGGTTAACTGACTAGTCGAGCAGTCGATGGAATATCCATCGACTGCTCAACTAGTCGATAGGCACTTCCGCGTTCCTCCTTTGAAATGTACAAGAGCCCCCCAGTGGGGGCTCTTGTACATTTCAAAGGAGGAATGTGGAACTTCGCATGCTGCCCGGGGCCAGCGGGAAGTCCCGCTAACTCTGGGCTGCATGTGGTGTGCCAGCTTTGAAACGTATAGGAGTCCCCAGCAGCCATGGAGCCTGGGGTCAGTGGGGGGCTCAGAGTCCCTCGCTGATCCTGGGCTCCATGCTGCATTGCATGCTGCACAGAGCCTGCACACAGCCCTCATGCCGCACAGCATGTCCAGCTCACCTGGGTTCCTTGTGGCTCTTCCCCAGAACCCCAGGTCAGCTGGGGACTCCCCAGCTGATCCCAGGGTTCTGCTGAAATGCCATGCAGAGCCCCTTTGAAATGCTGAGGAGGCATTTCAAAGGGTCAGTGCTGCACAGCTGAACCCCGGACGCGGATCAGCTGTGAGGTGGCTGCCCCATTGAAATGCCGCCTTGGGGTTAAATGGGGACTCCCCAGCTGATCACAGGTTCCATGCAGCATTTCCAAGGTGGCACTCCAAAGGGGCAGCCACTTCACAGCTGACCCCAGCTCAGCTGTGTGGCAGCTTCCCCTTTGAAACACCAAAGTGCAGTGCCCTGAAGCCAGGGGTCAGCTGGGGAATCCCCAGCTGACCCAGAGTTCTCCATAACATTTCCCCAGAACCAGCAGTTCAGCTGTGCAGCACTGCCCCTTTGAAATGCCTCCTCAGCATTTCAAAGGGGCTCCACACAGCATTTCAGCAGAACCCGGAATCAGCTGGGCATGCTGTGCAGCATGGGGGCTGTGTGCAGGTTCTGTGATGAAACACCAAAGTGCAGTGCCCTGAAGCCAGGGGTCAGCTGGGGAATCCCCAGCTGACCCAGAGTTCTCCATAACATTTCCCCAGAACCAGCAGTTCAGCTGTGCAGCACTGCCCCTTTGAAATGCCTCCTCAGCATTTCAAAGGGGCTCCACACAGCATTTCAGCAGAACCCGGAATCAGCTGGGCATGCTGTGCAGCATGGGGGCTGTGTGCAGGTTCTGTGATGTTTCAAAGGGGGCAGTGCTGCACAGCTGAGCCATGGATCAGCTGTGCGGTGGCTTCCCCTTTGAAATGCCACTTTGGGGTAAATCCCCGGCTCAGCTGTGCAGTGCTGCCACTTTGAACTGCCTCAGTCTGATAGTGCAGTGTAGATTACTTTTGATTTCACAGGTGACTGGAGTGCTGGCCAGGCATCAGTTTCCTGGCGATTTGGCCATGAGGTTCCCTGGGGGATCCTTTTGGATATGCAGGAGGCTTTACTTTCTCTGGGCTGATCCCAGGTTTCTGCTGTATTCTTACTTCTTGTGAGGGGGCATTTGGGAGAGAGGATATATATATATATATATTTTCCCTAGTCACTCGTCAGTTGATTCATACATTTTGCAGGGTCTTTGTTTGCCTTAAAAGGTTACAGATCCTAAACTCCCTTTAATAGGGTATTCCTTATACACACCTCAAACGCATCCCACAGATTACATACATATCAATAGTGATAGAAATGTAGCCGTGTTAGTATGGTGTAGCTGAAACAGAAAATAGGACTATGTAGCACTTTAAAGACTAACAAGATGGTTTATTAGGTGATGAGCTTTCATGGGCCAGACCCACTTCCTCAGATCAAATAGTGGAAGAAAATTGTCACAACCATATATACCAAAGGATACAATTTTAAAAAATGAACACATATGAAAAGGACAAATCAAATTTCAGAACAGAAGGGATTTGGGAGGAGGACTATAGACAACCACCTAACCTCAAGATGATTCTTACCAACAACCACAGGACATACCACACTAATACCAACCCAGGGTTGGTATTAGTGTGGTATGTCCTGTGGTTGTTGGTAAGAATCATCTTGAGGTTAGGTGGTTGTCTATAGGAGACTATGGGTCTGTCTCCCAGAGCCTCTCAGAGTTTAGTATCCTGTTCCAGTATAGGCTGTAGTTTATTGATAATGTGTTGGACAGGTTTAAGTTGGGGGTTGTAGGTGATGACACACCACTTCTGAAATTTGATTTGTCCTTTTCATATGTGTTCACTTTTTTTAAATTGTATCCTTTGGTATATATGGTTGTGACAATTTTCTTCCACTATTTGATCTGAGGAAGTGGGTCTGGCCCACGAAAGCTCATCACCTAATAAACCATCTTGTTAGTCTTTAAAGTGCTACATAGATACATATCAATAAGCATACATTAAACAATATGGTTTCTAGGCAAAGTTTGGCCTCACGGCCTTGAGTAACAAGAAACCGTAGTAAAAAGTCTAACATAAATCATATTGCTTGACAGCTAGCAAACTGTAGCTAAGAGAGCCAGGGTCAAGGAAAAGGGGACAAGCAAAGGGGTATGTTCAGCCAACTAGAAGAGAAGGAAGAGGAGGATCATTTCCGACTGGTTACATAGCTAACTATATCTGTGGCAAAAACAAACGAAAAACAAACAAAGCTTTATGGCAGGCCTGCACGTCATCAGCTGCAAAAACTGGCAAAACCCATAGCCAGAGATACTGAAGCACAAACCTCTACAAGAATTAAAAGGAACTATGATGTCTAGTGGCCCTGAGATTTTTTTGGTAACTTTGAAATATTTTTAGCAACTCCTTCCTGGAAATTGTAATAAAGAATAAAATTGAAAGAGGGCACAACGCTCTATGAAAACTAACATAAATTAAATATTTACAAATATTTACAAAAGATTCCATGATCTCTTTCTAACATTAAAAGTAACTTAAAGAGATTCTATAGCTGGAGACATAGGAAATTGGTCCCTCCTGTGTGCTCTTGCTATAGAAAATGTAGAAGAGCTGGCTACAGCCTATCAAGTAAGAATTTACCATCAGCCTTTCAAGAAGGTGAAAATGAACCTTTTAATTCCTTTAGCTTTTGCAATTTCTATTTTAAGACGAGGCAAGTAATAAATAAATTAAAGTAGATCCAGATTTTACAACCTTTTTTTCAGCACCAGAAAAACAAATCTTAACACAATTGAGTTATCCTAACAAGACTTCTGTGGGAGTATTGACATGCATAAAGATTTGCACAGTTGGGCCTTTCCTTTTTATCTCAAGTATTTGAATAAAAGTAAATAGCTTTTAAAGGACAGATTTGTTCACTAATCCCAATTCTCTTATGTTATAATGTAAGGTCTGTTCTGTACAGTTCATGGGTTGGCTGCACTGCTCCTTTTTTTATTCTCTCCACTGGGCTATTCAGAAAGCTTTTACAATAGCCGTAAAGCACGAGATCATTAACATTTAGTATGCTTTGCTGAAAAACTTCAGGAGGAGAAAATCACTGAGAAACACAACCAAACTCTTTGCAGAACTACTTCCCTAGTGTTCTCTTCTGGGAATTTCTGCTGTGAAATATTAATGGAAATTAAATCAAATAGGAATTTACCATGGGTATCAGCTGATTTTTATGTAAAACAGGGTTTTTTTCCCCTTCAAACTATAGATAAATACCTGTTGCATCTCTAAGGGTGCTTTTATACAAGAGAGCTTAATTCAAAATAAGCTATGCAAATTGAGCTATATGAATTGTGTAGCTTATTTAGAAATTGGGAGCATCTACACAACACTTATTTCGAAATAGAGCACTCTTCCTCTGACTTCCCTTATTCCTCGTACAATGAGGGTTACAGGAGTCAGAGTAAGAAGTCCTCCAGCTTGACAGTATTTCAACATTATTTCAAAATAACGCTAGTTATTCCAAAATAATGTTGCTGTATAGACGTACGCAAAGGGACTAAAACAATATTTTGCTTTTTCACATTAAGAAATTGAACTGCATCTTGCTAAATTTTGTCAGTTTCCACCTAACATAAAAGATGCAGGACACAAAACCTAACTTTATAACATGAAATACTTATAAAATGTGTAGGGGAAAATACAACTGCCTGTGCGCTTTTATCATATCTACTTTTTTTTTTAACAGCATAGTGAGCTGAAGAAGTTCTAAATAGCGTTTCATTAGTAGATTGACCACAATTGAGTATTGCTTGGAAAATGCACAGACAATGGATATGTAGCTTTCTAAAATTCAGTATAAGAGCACATATGATTTGCATCTGACAAATCTATGTTTGAATTGGGGGATATTTTGTCCCCATACATCATTTGGGGTGGAAAAACTTCACCCAGAAACTTTGCTCCCAAAAATTTGTGGGCACAAAATGAGAGGCGGAAATTAGGCTCCATTCAAAATCGAAGTCTTGAGAATAAATATCTCCCCCCAGTTTCATCCAGATGTGCAGTCTTGGACAAAATCTGGCCCAACAAACAGCAGTTATCACTGATAAATAACTGGTGTCTTTCATGTATGATTCCCCTGGGGTTTTTGAGTAAATTGTATTTTTTCAAGGAAAACTGTTTTTGAATATTCTCAAAACCATGGTTATGGCAGGTAACTAAACTTGGATTGCAATGGTGCAACCTTTTTAGCAGTATTAATAGACACATTATACATTTGCTGTGAAGATGATGTATAAAGTATCTTATTTAGTGGCTTGAAATCCTGAAGCTTGGTCTTTTTTCCCATTGTATTGTAACCTCTCTCTAGCCTTCAAATTATTTGGCAGCATTGTATTGTACATGATCCCTAAAAAGACATCTATTAATGATTACATAAATTAATGGTAGTCTGTTTCAAACACAACTGGCAAAACTGGCCTACTCTTGGTTGAGAAAAAAGAGCCCTGGAAATTTAGAAATCCATATACTTGTGTTGTAATTTTACAATGTGTCTGTAACATTCCCCATAGCAATAATATATTTCTAAGGTTATGTCATGGTGTTAATCTTAATCCCTTTTAAAAAGAGGTTAATTTATAACTCAACATACCTTCTAGATACCATGATCACAAAGAAGGTTTCCTAGGGTGAGGCTCATCCATTGGACTGTGGGTGTGCTGACCCATGCAATTTCCTTACATGTGGGAAACTTGACTGCATAATTTGTAGTATTGGGGGACTGCGTTCGCACTTTCCCCGGACAAGAAAGAAAGGAAGGCAGGAAGGAAGGCAGGCAGGCACAGAACCTGAATTATTCCTTGGTATAAGAATACATCAGATTTTGGATGCCCTACCTGAATGCCTTTTATTGGGACCTAATTTTCAGAGTTTTATTGTGCAGCACTTTCTGAAAATCAGGCCTTTCAGGATGGGTCTACACTGCAGGGCTTAACTCGAAATAATCTATGCAAATTGAGCTATGTCCGTTGCGTATCTTATTTCAAAATAGCTTATTTCAAAATAGGGAGCAGCTACACAGGAAATAGAGCAGTCTTTCTCTGACTTCCCTTATTCCCTGTACTATGTGGGTCACAGGAGTTGGAGTAAGAAGTCCTCCATCTTAACAGTATGACACTATTTTGAAATAACTGCCTGCTGTATAGAAGCGGACGTTATTTTGGAATAACTCTAGTTATTTCAAAATAGTGTTGCACTATAGAGTACCCTCAGAGAACTCAAGTTGCACTCCCAATATCACTGGTCACTTTTGAGAATGTAGGCAAATGAATGCACATTTTAACTATCAGATCCTCTTTATTTAGCTTCTTTTTAATGTATAAAGTCATGAAATTCACCATAATCACAGTGGCCTGCCATGTTAAAATAATTTGCGTATTCATTTGAGGCTAGAGTGTGAAACAACATTCTTTGAGTGAAGGCAGTTTTTAAATGTGAATGTTTGTTTCAAATAGACCTGGCATATTACAGTGCCGTTCTTTATATATGTCAGTGTTGATATAATGGAAATGTGTACGGTGATATGAGTGAGGTAATGTGGGGAAGGTGAAATCATGGGTATGAGTTGCAAGGGATGGGTGAAGTCTTGATTGGTGATTTCCTTACTTGTTTATGCTTGTGCCTAGTACATAAACTTGAACAACTGTAACTGCTTTTTTAATAACTTATTTTGTTTAAGGAGGATATAGATCAAAGTACCTTTGGACATTGGTACTGTATGTAGGCAAGAATCAAAGCAGCAGAACTAAGCTGTTTCAAACTTTTCTGTATATGGCTACGTCTTACACAGTAGCTGGGGGGCAGAATTCCCAGCTTAGTTTAGGGGTATGAATGATTAGGGTTGCCATGTGTCTAGTATTGACCTGGACAGTCTGGTATTTTCGCCTCCTGTCCGGTAAAAAAAAATTCAGAAAAAAACGGACACCTAAAATGTCGTTTTTTTTCCCCCCTGCCAGGAGGCAAAAATCTCAGCCCCTGGACACCCTCCCACCCCCCACCCCCTGCTTACCTGGTTCCACAAGGGCTAGTCTTGTGGCTGGAGAAGAAAAACAAAATGGCCACCAGCAAAAAAGCCTTTTCTTAAAGGTGCCATGCTGATTTTTTATTTTATTTATTTATTTATATATTTCTGTATTTATTGCTCAACAACTTGGGTCTCCCCCCCTTTTTTTTCCCTCAACAGCCTTTTTTTCCTGGTGGGTATTTTTTTTTTTTTTTGAAAGAGGGAGAGGGGTTGTTCGGTATTTTTGGTTAAACCATCTGGCAGCTCTATGAATGCTTAATCCTTAATGGTTCCAGTTAACCAGTAGGGGGCTGGAGAAATTCCCCATCCTCTGCGGACAGGGAGCTGCTCCAGTCCCGCAGGGCCCACCACAGGCAGAGGCAGATCCAGGAGCAGTATAGACATACTCTAAGAATGTGAAAGAGACTGAGGAATCCTTGCTTGCTTTTATTGATGTTTAGGGTGCTAAACCAAATGTTTGAAAACTCTGCATTACATAAAGGCTACGTCTAAACTGGCATGATTTTCCGGAAATGCTTTTAATGGAAAAGTTTTCCGTTAAAAGCATTTTCGGAACAGAGCATCTAGATTGGCACGGACACTTTTCCGCAAAAGCACTTTTTGCGGAAAAGCATCCGTGCCAATCTAGACGTGCTTTTCCGCAAAAAAGCCCCGATCGCCATTTTTGCGATCGGGGCTTTTTAGCGGAAAACAAATCTGAGCTGTCTACACTGGCCCCTTTGTGCAAAAGTTTTGTGCAAAAGGACTTTTGCCCGAATGGGAGCAGCATAGTATTTCTGCAAGAACACTGACAATCTTACATGAGATCGTCAGTGCTTTTGCGGAAATTCAAGCGGCTAGTGTAGACAGCTGGCAAGTTTTTCCGGAAAAGTGGCTGATTTTCCAGAAAAACTGGCCAGTCTAGACACAGCCCACAGGTATTACAAATCTATACAGTGATTTAGGCTACTATGCTCCTTTAAACTAATGAAAGCAGATTGGAGCAAAACCTTGCATTAACCCATGATTTAACTTGGCACCCAACTGTTATGCACAGACAACTCCCATTTAAGTAAACTGGAGTTTTGCATGCACAACTGAATGCAAATCAGGCCTTCAACTAGGATTGAGCATTGGGATTCTCACCCCTTTTCCTGGATAAGGATTTGTATTTGTGAACTGAAATGTTGCAGAAATGAGTCATCAGGTATTAGAGCATGCAGTCCATAAGCCAGTCTTCCTGTCCCCTCCATATTCCTCTAAACTCTGTTCTCTTGAAGTGATCCTGCAAAGGACAGTCAGTGAGGTTGAACACTGGGAAGCACCATGGGTGCTCAGTTCTCATTTTGTGGGACGGTGTGATATTACCTATCCATGGTCCTCTAGTTTAAAAAATGGGGTATTCTTGACATCATGGCCTGACTCCATGTGTTGTCCTTCCATGCATGACATCAACTAAAGCAGTGGCATAACACAAGCTGATGGTTCAAAGTTATTTAAAGAGTAAGGAAGGCTTTTTACTATACAAATATAGGATTTGCAATGAGATTAAAGTAGTGTTTGAACGGGAGTTGCTTAGCTTTCCCTTAGGCAAACAGTCAAAGCCAACAGACAAACCACAGATGGATATGTTGCATAACTGCCCTGTTGATTAGCCATTTGTGTATTATTTGTGACAGAATATTCCTTCAGAGTTGCACTTAGTACAAAATCCAGTTAATCGTCTAGACAGATGAAAATAACCCTAATTTGAATGTGCCCTTGAGTTTTTCAGTTCTTGAGATCACAAGCCTTTATGTAAAGCAGGGAAATCAGTCCTAAAGCATGAATTATCTTTTCAATAATATTTTCCTTGAAGTATTTTCAGTGGAGGATCTGCCAATATAGAGGCTAGGTTGAAGCTCACTTGTGCTGAACATGTGGCTGTCTAGCCATAGAATTGGAAACATGTTACTGTTTAGTAAAAAGTCCTACCTGAAGATCAGGTACTGACATAAATATCTGACTTGTTTGTGGACTTCTCTGCAATGTTCTGTTATGCCAAGCTCATGCATTCTTTTAAAATACTGCTTTAAAATAATTAATAGAGAAAGCAAAGCACAGTTTGTTGTATAATATCTACCCGATTATCATAAATTTATCTAGATCCTCAAAAGATTATGCTTTTTGTGGGGGAGGACAAAACCAAAAATAATAAATAAAACTAGAAGATGAAAATAAACTAATTCCATTGGAGGCAAAATTTTTGTCTCAAGCAAATGAAATCCTTATGGCTTTGTTCTGTTTCTGCCTAAGTAAGCAACATAAGCTCCAGTTTTGCACCAATTGAAATCTGTGGCAGCTCATACATTCACATCAGTTTGTGTGGGATCAGCTTTGTTTGGAGCCTGTATTTACTCCAAAATTAGTCCAGCCTCTCCTGAAGTATGCAACATCTATTCTTGTTTGGGTACCGTTAGCTGCTGTAACTGTTATTTTAACCCATTCTAATTGGCAGGTCTGGGTGCCAGGAAAGTTTTCAAGACTTGAGCCAAAGTATATAAGCTGTTTTTCTTTTTTCTATTAAGTCGGTGTCTGCAGCTCCCGATTATCTTTGTTGGTTGTCTCTGAGTCCCCTCCAGTTTGTCGTACTTTTCTGATAACGTGCTGTTCACAGGGCTGGCCTTACCATGAGGCGAACTGAGGCGGCTGCCTCAGGTGCCAGACTGTGGAGGGGCGCCACTAGGACTCAGAGAATTTAGACCTTTCAAAGTTTTGGCCCAAGTGAGGGAGTATGGGGGCGTGATTTGAGCTCCCTGTCTCAGGTGCCAAAATGTTGTGGGTCGGCCCTGGATGTCCAAAACTGAAGGCAGTATTCCAGGTGCTGTCTCTCCAGATCCATGCAGAAGGAGTCCAACCTCCCTGTTTTATAGAAAGAGAAGGCTTTTGAATCATTATGTAATGGGAAAAGGCATCCACAGTAGGCAGACAGCTGTATTGTTCTGGGTCACACTTTGTGTCTGTAGGCAGGCCTTAAGCCAGGTCTAAACTGGCAGAGAAAATCAATGCAAGGTACACAACTCCAGCTACGTGAATTTCATAGTTGGAGTTGACATACCTTGCATCGATTTTCTGGGGTGACCTCGTGGTAGGAGGTCGACAGAAGAAATAGTCTCGTCTACTTCCGTTACTTCTCATAAGAGCGAGGAGTAGCTGTACCGACGGGGGTGCCCATAGCTTTTGATATAGCAGGTCTTTTACGTTAGACCCTATATTTTAGACCCACTAAATTGAAATTGATCGGCAGAACATCGATCCTCAGGCAAGTGTAGACAAGGCCTTTGGTTCACACGCCAGAAACCAGAAGTAGTAGTCACAATTAGGATGAGAATGTGGCTTTTGAATGAGGTGCAGTGTCATTTAGTTAAACAAATAATTGCACAAATTCGAGACAGCATAATCTATTACATTAAATCTATACTTCCTTCCTTATAACATGCTATAAAGAAAGACATTAGGTCAGATTACTTTGTCTGGGAAGGCCACTTTCTGGAAACAGTGCAAAGCTGTTTCATATTGGCTGGAGATAGAAGAATGCTATCCCACTGCCCAGGGAAACTCCTTGTATGGCAAGTTGATAGACACCATTTTTCATAGCCTTGTGCACCAGCCATCCTCCAATGCTGATATAAGGGGAAGGAGTGGGCCCTATAGGGGTAGACAAGAAGAGGAAATAAAACTTACAGCTGTAAGTGAGGATT